TATAATATGTGTATATACATGCATATATATTACATGCACATGTATGTATACATACATATAATTTTTTTTTCTTATGGGTATTTTCTTCACATTTTTCTTTTCTTTTTCTTTTTTATATTAATTGAATAACTATATATATTTCAGCACTCCAATGATAATGAAAAATTAAAAAATAATGTATTAATGTATAATATAACTTTGTGCACTATTTAAAACTTTTACTCTTTCTTAATGATTACAAAAATATGACATAAATTAACAGTTGTATGTATGAATTATAATTATATGCACCAGTGCATTACAAATTAAACAATTAATAATTTGATGGAAAAGAGTATAAGTTTACAATTATTACTATAATAATTATTAAATAATATGTAAATTACGTGTTCTTAATGCAATTGTTTTATTTTTAGTGTCAATTCACTGTAAAGTGTCAGAAAACTTTTTTCTGTATGTGTATGTATATATGATGCATTTGTATATATATTTGTATATATGTATGTATGTATACAAATACATTTCTCTTACTCAGGTTTTTTCAATTAGAAGTCGAACGTTCCATTATAAGAGCTTGTTTTACATTTGTTAGAGTAAAATACAGCAATTTCTTTTCTTCTTACGTTCACTTCCATCTCCTTGATTTTCTTGCGCTTTACGTGCAGCTATTGCACGCATTAAATCAAAAAATACCTGTAATGGAACACAAAAAAACAATCAATTTTCATTTCATATTTCTATAAATTTAATATCAGAAATCGAAATTATAATAACTTTGCTATATATTATCAATACTAAAACAGAAATAGAATTTATTTTCTATTTATATTTCTTATTTAAGTTCTATTAATGTAATATAAAATGTAGTATTATATATTACATATATAATGTATGAGCAATATATATGATAATATTTATTAGATATAATATTGTAATATTTACATTACTAAAATAATCATGCGTAATAAGCTATACATGAAAATGTATTCATTCCCATTCTTTTTATTTTAATAAATTTTTAATAAATTAACAGAAAAAATCAGTTTGTGCCTTTATAATTTAATAAAATGTGATACTGACTTGAATTTGTACATGCATATGCAATATTTCAAGCATAAGCTAGAAACAACATAAAAAGCGATTTGTATGTAAGAAATTTTTTTTTGTACGTGCCTGTGAGAGACACTCTTGCAGAAAGTTGATACTTCTGATATAATTGTTACCTGATGATAATTGCACATATATATTTATTTAAATTTCAGAAAAAAGTGAAAAGAATACTGCAATAATAAAATTTCTAAATCATTGTCCAGTTTTTCATTTATAAAAGATTAAAAACAGCGAAAAAAGCAGCAAACCTATAGAATTTTGCACTTCTTTTTCTTCCTTGTGGCACGGTCCTTTCCACGACCGTTGCTTGCTGATTTATCTTCAATCTTGCGCGATCTTATTTCACGCATCAAGTCGAAAAATACCTGGAAATGTGCAATTGATGCCATCTCAAAGCTTCAAGGCTTGAAAAATGTGCTTTACAAATATAAATAAATGCAATTTATTTTTATGTATTAATTTTATATTTGTATCAATATTTTTCATTACAAAAAAAATGTGTGCAAAAGCTATGAGATGTATATATAGCAAAGAAACTAAAACATACAATAAATGATAAATTAAGCTAATTAAATAAATCTCATGCAATTCTTGTATTCTAAAAACTATTGTAAATTTAAAAGACAATATAAAAATATTTTAATAATACATGTGCATTTTTACATACAATTTTTTTACATAAATAATCAAATAAATTTTGTAATAAATTATATTATTTAATATTATTAAAAAAATTATTAATAATATTAATTTTCTATATAAAAGACATTTATTTTCTTATTTTTACTTACATACACATATATATATATATA